ACTGTAATAATGCTGAAGTTGTTACGTAATTCAGGTAATGCCATGGTATATTTTGGCTTCAGTCCTAATGGGACATTTTTCTGTAAAAAACTTTCTTTGTTAACAGTGCTAGGTAGTCAGACTGGGTGGATGATCCTCATGATGTGCCGTATATGATACACAAAAACTGAAACTTCTGATGAGGCAGTTTACTTTCCTTTTTTAAACTTTTAATTTGAATATAGAATGGCAGCTATCTGGATTAAAAAGTTTCAAGTATTAAATGATCCTTGGCCGAGATAAACCTAATTTATGTTATGTTTTAAATTGACATGAAGTTGAATTTACTCTATACAATACGATGGAAAACCCCAAAGGTTGCACCAGGGCACCAAAATTTACTGTTTTGTAGAGTGAAAAGATCTGAAATTGCAGATGAAAATTATCAACAGGACAATCTTCTTGAAGTTCTTTGCCTCAATGCTCTTTTGACACTCTTAAGTTCTTACATACTGTAGCTAAACCTACAGAAGTTAAGCCATTTTCTTATGTGCATGTGCATGTATGCAGTTCTTCATTTCATGTGCTTAAATACTCACAGGCATAGAAACAGTTCCATTGATGTTGTTGATAGCTGCCAATGCTTCCTTTCTTGTGTTGAACTTGATGAATGCACACCCTGAGTCAAAACATTTTGAAAAATTTCTACCAATTTTACTCTCAATGCAACATCCACACCACTGAACATAACCAGTACATACATATGCATAATGCCTTTCATATACCCTTGCTAAACTAATACACATATAGCACATTCTTTTTAAAAAAAAATCTGTGACATATTCCACAATCGAAAACACAAGGAACTCAGATCTGAGACTCTGCCAGATTTGGAAAGTTTGTTGGAATAAACACATTTAGTAATTTTCACTAAAAAAGCACAAGAGATACAATATCAGCTTGCAACAGAACATACCGTAGTGCTTTTATGCTAAGTTTTGTAAAAATGCACTTGCTATACATACAATGCTCTAAGATAAATATGCAGAGCAAAACCATGTACAAAAATGACGGCATTAGCCCCCCTCCCAAATCTCTGGTTTCTGGTCAGGAGCTGGCTCCAAAAATAGTGCGGCGACACAGTTCTCTTTTACCTTAACTTTTTTTTTTTTTGAAATAATTTAAAATAAACGTGCAATGGCCATTGCAACTGCATGCGCACGTAACTCGGGCTGCAGCTACCAACACTAAAATAGACTGGCCCTCACACTTTTACTGTTTAAAAGTATTTTCAGCTTGTACACATAACTTGACCATCTCGTTTGTCTGGTTTCAGATGTAAATGTACATTGTATAATACAGAAATGACATCATCTGAAAAAGAGTGCCAGACTAAATGTATGGGAAACTACAGGGACTACTGGCATTGCTAAGCTTTTACAAGTGGGGGGCACCAGCATTTTATGGGGAGGGTATCAGCTTCAGTGGTTTGGTCTTTTGGGGCAATTTTTTGTTACCCTTGTTCAATATCCATTCATCCTTTTTTTTAAAGTGGGGGACGGGGGGGGGGGCATGTGCCCTCCCAGCCCCCCTGAATGACTTGGATTAAACATACCAACTTTAATTGCTTGTAATTTGACACCTGATATCATCATATCATCATCATCATCTGTGCGTAGAAGTCTTTGCTTGGTGCAACTTTGTTCAAGATGCAAGATAGCAAAGTAACCGAAAAGCTGAAAAGGCCTTAAGAAAACAGTTTTTAACTAAATGGGTAAAAATAAATATTCAAACTTTAATGATAAATCATTTTATGAGGTCATCATGACAAAATTATGTGATCCCGAAAACACGTTCTACCTACATAAGCATATTTATGCAGATGAAATTAGAGCTCGACAAGTGTGTGTAAATATGTGAAAATCACAGATTTTGCTGTTGTCATCATGACATAACAAAATTTTAAAAACTACCTAGACATCCACTTGGCCTATCCAAAGTCTTGTAAAAGGAATTTTGAAAAAAACTTGTTTGTTTGTAAGTTACGTAGACTGGAAAGAATATTAAAAAAAGGAAAATAAAAAAATTATTAACTACAACGATGAAGCCACCATGGCCAACTGCTGTATATATTGTACAGCATACATTGTACTGTACATTCATGTATGACGATGTAAAATGAAAACTTGACGATGTAGATTGTGCTCCGTGAGCTTTAAGTGATCAAGGGACCTTTCGTGAGTAGTTAGTAATCCAAATGAAGACAGACAAAAGAATAACCACAATAAAACTACAACAGGCACTCCCAGTAACCTTTACATTTTTTACTTCAATGCGAACATGGCTTTTGGGTGTCATAACCATTTGCCAAGTTTTCCGATATATACATGTAAGTAGCAGCTGTCAGGGATGCTGCAATTGCAGCCTTGTCAAAGACAAAACTCTTTCAGATAAAGAAAGAGTGAACTTATAAAAGTTTGCAAAAATGTTACACAATTATCTAAAATACAAATTCAACCATTTTCTTTATAGTAATTAATCTTCACACATTTTTTATGCATAGTTTTACAAACATACTTAAATTATCTAATTTCACTATCTTCAACTCATGGCACAACACAAGAGCCATTACAGTCAATTTATACCACTGAATTTTTTGCATGCATTCATACATGTACATCTTTTTTGTAAAATGTAATCTGCTCACATTTTCTTACCTACATTTTTTCATCAACCCCAGATTAAATAAAATAAATGCAAAGTCATTTCTACTTTCAATACTGACCTCGACTGACACCATTACCATCACGTAAAACAGTACACTCATCAATCTTGCCAAATCTGCTGAACATAGCTCGCACATCTTCATCAGAGTGATGCTTATTAAGCATACCCACAAAAAGCTTCCGGTCCTCTGAAAAAAAAAGTACCCTCAGATTATTCAAAACAATAAAAAAGGAAACACTCTGCAAAGATAACAAATGGGATTTGTTGAAGAGAAAATTATTAGATGTTCAGGCGTACTCTTAAGACCTCCATGATGTACTTTTTTGAGGGGGAGGGGCAAGTACTGTAGATTTGGGAAAGTAAACTCCAATGAACCTTTCCCCTGCCAACCCCAAAAAGGTGATCAGAAGGAAAATGATTGAAACGGCTACATGCCAACACTTACATGTAAATTAAAAAAAAAAATCACACTAAAATCATTTGGGAAAAGGGCCGGAATGTGTCTCTGTACTGACATGAAAAATGATTCAGTTATGGATAATATCATCTGGTAACCCTTGAAGAAAAGGTTTTACACAGAGGCAGAGGAAACTAAAATAATATCCTTAACGAGTTCAAGATGACCACAAAATACATGATTTTGTATAATTTGTAACATTTTGCCAATTTGTATTGTTTTTTATTTACATGTAAATACAATATGACATCACTATTGCAAGTAGTGCACATTCTCCAGCTTCAACTTTGACCAATCATACCATATCAGACAATAACTGATATTAAATGTACACATGTGAGACTTGGATTGAACAGGCACATTTATGACAGTATCAGTATATTCTGTGAAACTATAAACTCTTCTCTGATGTATGAAAACTATTTCTAACTCTTTTGAGATTAAAAGTATTGAAAAGTGCACATTTTAAACAGTGAAATAAATGCTCTTCTTGACATTTTGATATTATTCAGGGATAACACTGTTCAGTTTACACGTCATTCTGTCCAAACTGTAAACCTAAAAGGTTTGTGCATCTCTGAGAAATAATTACTTGCTGGTTTATAGTCATTTAATACAAAATAAATCACTAAAGAAAATTAAATTTAGGACAGCAAAATATAAAATACCAGCAGTTCTCTGAAAACAAATCAATGCGACATTGAGGCTTTCTCCCAGGGTGATATCACCAATATGCTAATAAATATGCAAATGTGTATCAGCATAAAAAAACAAAAAGTGCTAAATACAGTGCCTTTTAAAATAGCAAAAAGAAATTTGAAATTAAGGTTAACTGAAGAAAAGTGTATATTCAAGAGTTGTATGCCAAGATTGTTGAGCAATGGAAAAATGCTGGTAGTATCTATCCAGATGGGCCTACGCCACATTGCAGAGAGAGCAATGATTAGTATACTAAATCCAGCTCACACTAGACACATGGGAAATGACATGTGTTACTTAAACTTAGCTGTCTCGTTAGAAATTATGTACTACTACGTGTATGTTGACCACTAGGGACCTACTGTATTACTAAAATGTACATGTATAGGCCTTTTCACACGAGTACTGTTAACAGAGGTCCTATACTATGAAATCACATCTATGTTACAATTGCAGTGATATTGTGTCGTGTGAAGGTCGACCTCTGTCAAAAAAATTGCACAGTTATAGCAAGGGTCCTGTGTGATTGCCACGGCGATCAAGGAGACCTCCTCCAAAACTTCACATTGAGGGTGGCTGGCAAATAAAGTACATGTACAATACATGAGCTTTATTTTGTTCACACTGAGTAAATATACTGAACACCCATACTTTATTACATGTACAGGTACATGTACATAAATGTTTGACACTAATGATGGTTCATACAAAATGTCAAGAATCATACCAAAGAAGGTGAATGCCCATGTAGTGTTTGCAGTCTATTGTAAACATTCTACACAGCATCTGTCTGATTGGGAATATTCAAACTAACTGAAATTAAAAATCCCAATCATACTGTAGTAGGATGTATGTGACAGTATATGTACTAATTCCAGTTGGTCTCCATCTGATACCATGTCACGTTGAAACATAGTTGAAGTCAAGAGTGAATTGACATTGTTTTGTCTCTGTATACCACACGGGTAACACACCCAGGCAAGTACAGCTGAATAGCAGTAACAGTAGAGGCACCAATCTAAAAGAGATGAAATGTAATTTTCATTTTATATGTTAATGACATACCCAGCTCGGCCCACCATTCAACATTGGCGCTACTTGCTGGTGATTCAAAATGTTGTAAAACAACTGAGATCACCTCTGATTGTAAATTTTTACAAGACAAGATTAATTTTTCATATTCGCGGACATTAAAGCGGAGTATTTGCAATCCAATACCTCTAAAATGTCAGATCATCTCCATCTTATGAGAAAAAAGTTGGTCAAATTTGATTCTAAATTGAATGACATTTCTTCTGAAAGTACAGTCAGTTCGAGTTTTTGATGTCGATATTTCTTATCTTACTAGCAATAAGCATGTTTGTTGTTTGTGTATTATTGGCAAATGTAATAAAAAGATGAGAATAATCAAACATACTCTTGGTTTTGATGCACCAACTAGAGAGTTTCTAAACCACTTCTTGCATAACAAATATGTGACTTGGAGTACTGCAGTCTGGTATGGAGTGGCATGTTGAAACATAATATAGGGTTACTTGAAGGTGTTCAGAGGTGTACTACTTATGTTGCACTTAGCTGAAATGGACAACAAATCTCACTTAGTGTCAAGTTGTTTGATACCCTTGTCTTTCAGGAGAGAAATTGAGGTCTGGTCATTCTGATAAAACTGTTGATGACCTGAGACAATCTGCTGGTTCATTTCAATTATTTGTCCCTCATTGTCATTCTGAAACTCAAAGTTTTTTTATTTCAGCACATTGTTGGTAAATGGAATCAACTCCTACTTGAAGCCAAATCAGAATCTTCTTTTCATCCCAAGTTTGGAATTTTGCAATACAAAATTCAACTCAACAACAAATTGATCTCAACATTTGTAAGATCTCACTACCATGAATATTTTCAGGTCTACATGTACATCCTACAAAAATACCAAGTTTTAATAAATGAAATATTATTTATTGTAATTTTCAGGGTACTATATTTAGTACCAGGCATTTATTTATGATTTCATTTATTTCATATGATTTCATTTATTTATGAATTAGTAACGTAATTTAGTTGCCAACTGGTTTAATACTGCGTAAGAAAACTAACATTTGATGCAAATTACATGGCATAATCTGAGTGAAATAAACTGAGTGAAATAAACTAAGTGAAATACACGTGACTGGAAAATAACAAGTAAGCAAACTTTGGCCTTACATTTCACAAGTTTGTCTAATGAGGGTGCACTCACAATAAACCTGGCAACTACAGAAGCCCCCTTCCACTGTATATTAATGAACGAATCTACTAGTGACTTAGGAAAATGGTCTCGGTGACCTGACAGTGTTTTGGTCCCCATGGATGGAATTTCCACTGGTTCATTTTTGTGAGGTACTTGTGGAGTTTGAGAGTCAACATATTGCACAGTAAAGTAAGCAGGTTTAAGTTGATCAACACAACAAAGTGCTTTTCTGTGCAACTGACAACCTGGTACGGTCCATTATACGGAGGCCGAAGGGGCTTGTATACTCCATTATGACGCACGAAGACATGGGTGCATGTGGTCAAGTCTTTGGGACATTTACAGGTCCCTGCTGGTGTCAGGGGATGTGGGACAAAGTTGACGCGTGGATGTCTTAAGTCAGTCCACATAATCTGCTGGGTCCAACCCGGGTGTCGAAAGAGTCGAAAAGCTGATTCGGCAGTCTGAGCATGGTGCTAAAGACAAGTTCTGCAGGACAATGGCCTATGTCTGGTTTGACTGCAAAGCGAATTTGGGGCAAGATGAAAAGGAGTATTTCTGTCCGACAGCAGTGCATCGTAACCGTAGGTGGGGTACCAAACAGGACACCCGTCTCTTGACGCAAGTTTTGGCAACAGTCTCAGCTGTTATGTCAGCAACTGGTATAGCCTCTGGCTATTGCGTGAAGCAATTAATAATGATAAGCAAAGTAAGGGGACCCACTGGAAAGAGGCAAGGTCCCGATGATGTCCAAGTGGATGTGGCTAAAACGAGCATCTGGCATGGTGAATGTACTGAGTGAAGTGGTGGTGTGTCGGTGCACTTTTGAGCATTGCAGGCAAGCTGTGCACTCATGAATCCATTTAAGAATGTTGTGATTGATGCCTGGACAGACAAATTGTTCAATGATGAGGTGTTGAGAGTTGCCCTGATACCGGGGTGTGCAAGGGAATGAAGAAAGTCAAAGATGGTCCTGCAGAGACTACTAGGCACAAATGGACGTGGTGTGCCTGTTGAAATGTCACATAAAAGCTGTAATGACCCACTAGCGAGTGGAATGTCACTTAGCTGCATGTTGGTTATAATGGTGAAATCGATGGCAGATGGGGGAGTGGCTGCATTGAGCTGGAACTTTGACAATGCATCAGCTGGGGCATTGTCAGTAACCTTCACTGCGCGAATGTCTGTGGTGTATTAGGAAATAAAGTCCAACTAGTGGATATTGCCAAGAGGGTGTCGGTCTGGTACTGCATTAAATGCACAGGTGCGAGGCTTATATTTGGTGAGGACATGGATGTGGCCTCTTCGAGCATGGGGCGAAAGTGGCGTATGGCCAGGTACATGGCCAACAGTTCACAGCCGAAGGCACTATAGCTGGTCTAGGCTGGTTTGAGTTTGCGAGAGAAGGCAATCTGTTGCTAGGTTTTGTCAACTCATTGCAGGAGAACAGCACCAACTGCCACATCTGAGGCATCAGTCATGACACAAGTCCGCATTCGGCTGCAGATGTGCTAGTGAGACCTGATTTGATGTTGTAGGCAGTTTTGGCTGCCTCTGTCCACTGCAGGCCCTTTGATTGTCCACGGAGCATCAGGAGATCAGTGAGCGGTCGCAGGATGGTGGCTGCATGTGGTATAAACCTCCGATAGAAGTTGACCAACCAAAGACATACCTTGTGCTTGAGTTGCATTTGAGGTAGCGGGAACTCACGACGGTGCATGTCTTTTCCTTAAGTGAGCAGGCTCCTGTTGAATCAACACAGTGACAGAGTAATTCCACTGATTCTACACGAAACTGACTCTTC